CTTAACCTCTCGGGTACAAAGCGGCAACATTGTTGCCATGGGAACGACCGCTTGCATCGCTATTGGAATTACTTCAGCCTCGGCAATTTACTCTTTGCTTCGGAGAAGTGATGCCAGGTTCTCTAAAGTGGTGTGGTAGTGGGAATTGCGCCGAACCTTCTTAAACCAGCGCTAAGTAAGAAGTAAGTTCGCAGTATAAAACTGGCTGCTGGTGAAGTACAGGGTAACTGCTTAATTCAGATGTCATGTAAATAGTAGAATGGTAGGGCGTTGGAGTAAATAGTTAGTTTTCATCCTTGGCAACCGAATTCGAAGTAAAAGCTTGGGAAGTTACGTCCTACGCCACAATTGTACGCCATTCTCTGTTCATGACACTGGTTACTGTTGGGCCCGGGCCCGCGTCGACGGGCGGCGGGGTTCAGGCTCACCGCGGCAGGGCGGTGACGGCGCGGCGGAAGTCATTTGTCAGCTTCACACGCAAACCGACGACCACGTGACTGGCGGCGGGGTTGACAGATATCGGAGAGCGCTCTCGGCAGAACTGAACCGTCGAAAACAACGCGAAAATCGAGCCAACCACTTAGTCACCACCCAGCTAATCCATTTGACCATGAACGTAGACGCTTTATGAACGCGTGACAGCTCTCGATCACGTCTCAGATGCCCATACTTGCGGCTGCGCTCTCCCACTTCGCGTTAAGATGGTTCAAACATAGCGGAAATAAATATACCGAAATAGGTGTATAGAGTAAGGTTTCAGCTCTCATCTGCACGTGACCTTTGCTCAAGGCGTGGTACGGCGTGCGTAACACTACACGTTTCCATGCAGCATGTTTGATCGTGGGATTTCACACCATCAAATACACTTCTGAAAGAAAGTTGTTGCGGGAGTAGTCAGATTTCTCACAGAAGCATTATAAGAATTTGACCTTGGCCTGTAAACTCAATGTCCACTTAAGCTGAAGTTTGCTGTGTAGTCTGAGATCGCACGCTACGGTGCTATTGATTGCAACTTGAGTTTTTGGATTCGGCTTTCCTCCTGCTTTCATGCTTATTTCCCCTGCTGTGACAGGAGTACATATGCCTTTGGCAATCATTAGTCATAAACATACACGGAAATCGCATGTCTGCGTTGAAGTTCTTGCACGCAGCTACACCGCTGATATGAATAAAACTATGGGGTGTGTTCCATGGATGCAGATAATCCGGATGACGAGCGCCATTTATGATTTGATGATCACTTATGATCTGAAACGTGACGTACCCGATAAGGTAAGATTCCGCACACCGCCTGCATCGAAGCGGGAGCAGCGAGAAGCAAGCAGCGCAAAGGCAAGCAGCGTGGTATGAGCTGGACGAGCTAGATGAGTTACACGCTCTCTTGGGGAGACGGGCGCATCAATATCTGTGTACTGCTTCTCGGATCTCTGGATCTCTGTTCGTGTGCTGTTTCCGGATTCTGTCGGAGATGACGGTCAATCGTCATAGTTATTATGTTCCGTAATTAATCACTTAAGGTCATAAAATATCCAATAGGTCGTAAAATTTGTTGACGGTCATCCGAAAGTAGCCGGATCCGACTCCTGCATCTCCCGCGCGAGTGTGTGGTACTCACCACTCTGGTACCGACGCAGTGGGATTGTACGCACGCAGCACGCTCGGTGGCGCACCGCTCACGCGGTCTGCGCAGGCGGAGACAGCAGTCGCCACAAGCTGGGACGGGCGGGATCTACAACTATTAATTATCCTTCAATTATTGTAATTGGAAAACGCGCCAAGGCTTCTCGTTGAAGCTGCTATCGGCTGCGCTGAATGGAGGTCCTGGCAAACGGAAGGGTGAAAATGGAGGAAAACAGGGTAACAAAATATTGAGAAGCGCATTGATTAAAATGTAATCGTGAGAATACCCATTCAAAATAGTAAAATCATGAAATGCGCGGGCCATAAAGCAAGCCTATTGTGTTTTCAGTGTGCTTTTTAGTGCTTTTATTTCCGTTCCTACTTTTGTCTGTCTTGGTCTCATACAAATGTAATGCCAGTGCATTTTGCCACTTTTACACATCCCTTCTTTGGTTTTAGAATACCAGTAAATGCGCCTTGAAGTGAAATGACCAGGAAATTGAATGTATTTAAAAGATATAATGGGTCAATCCACCAGTCGCCCAAACGCGTTAAAAGACCACCCAGAAGTTAACAAATCATGACACATGAAGGGCATATTTGGAGAAAACAAATTACTGTATCACAAATTCCACATTTGAAAAAGTGCATCCCGTAGTTTTTTGGCTGATCACGTGGCTTGGTAATGACATATGAGCCATTATAAAAGCCATTCAAGCTACAAATCACATCAATTTACCTTATCCTACAGTGCGTAGCTTTAGGGCACAATGACGCAGCGGCTTGTACAACAAAGTGTTCAATTATTCGCCTTGCGTTTAAGGTAGCCCTGTTTAAAGCCTTCCTTAGCTTTGGTAAAAGGCATAGATCATAGTGTACCTTTACCGATTGTAAATAATCCTTTAGTTCTACGGTGAAGGTTTGCAAGCTCTTTTGTGAGCTGTCATCGAAGCAATATTTTGTCATTCAACGTTGTTTACTCATATCTTGAGGACAGCGTTGTTCTTACTTACTATTCATTGTTGGGAGAGAGAGAGAGATGACAGAAACAAGCCTACCTTTAGAAAGACGGTGCTTATAAGTAAAAATCATAACAAGTGAAATACTTGAAAATTACGTAATATCCCGTTTCGGGGCACCTAAGCATTTATCCAACTTACCTACAGGACAAGATTTAAAATCAGATTCGGATATTTTCGTTAGAGGATCTAATAATGCCTACCTAAGACGTGAGAAAGTACAATTTTTGGGGTAGGGCTCATGGAGGTTAATGTCCTCTCAAATAAGAACGTCTTTTGGTTCGCCGCGGAATCTGTCACCGACTAATTTAGCCCCAGCCTATGTGAATGAGTTTTTTGTGGGGTGGGGTGGGGGGGAGGGGTTCGGGTTAGAGTTAAATAGGAAACGGCACCGCTGATATGAATGCAACTATGGCATATGTTTGATGACCATAAGTAATCCGGATGATGGCCGTCATTGATGGTGTGGTGATCATGCATGATCTTTTGAATGGTGGCGTATCCTGATATGAATATGATGATATGATGATATATATATATATATATATATATATATATATATATATATATATCCTGACATGAATATGGCTGATATGAATGCAACTATGGCATATGTTTGATGACTATGAGTAATCCGGATGATGGCCGTCATTGATGGTGTGGTGATCATGCATAATCTTTTGAATGGTGGCGTATCCGACACGGTAAGATTCTGCCACCGTCGTCTGCCACCCCGTTTGTATCTGATATGGAATAATATGAATAAAATGAAACCAAATCAAACATGGAAAACCAAAAGTAAGCACCGGTGTGAGCCATGAAACCAATTTGAGGAACTTGACACACGCAACTCAAGCCAAACAAATCTCTCTCCCCGAACACACCAAACAACAATGTCCAGCCGAACACAACTTGGTGTCTTTTGCGGCGTGGAATGGGGTATGTGATAACAAAAGTGTTATCGCCATCCAGAGGAAACCGAAATGTGAGCGAATGGTGCCTGTCGTCCGTAGGAGACCTGCAGATAATGCAGTGGCATAGAAGTCATACGCACATAAACATAAGCACACTCAGAGTCCGCCAAAAACAACTTAGCGAGACATAGTTATTGAGGAGGGGGGGGGGGGGGGGAGATAAACTGATGTCACACTGGGACTTCTTACAAAACCCAATGAAATTCCTGCGTATCACTATCAATGTTTTCAGCTGCTTTACTCTTTCTAACGTGCTTGAAAAATAATGGCTGCAATACACCAATTGTTCAAAATACTTGTGTAATATATGTTATACAGAAGTTTGGAACTCCTTATTTAGGGACAAAAAATACACATAGTAGGCTAGTTGCATGGAGCTCTAAAGAAACGCCCACCTTATGCTATGGACATGACTTTGCCCTTATGGCGTCTAGCACAGTGGCTTTTCGAAACGCTCTTTGGCTTTGGGAAAACGGTATATCACGTGGTCTATAGTGCCCCACTGCGCTAAACTGCAACCAATAAGCTTTTTGACAAATGGCTTAATACGCACGCCCAAACACAAACGGTAGTTTGTATTGATGCCATTGCTACCAGAAGAGGTGATGCTTTGAAATGGAATGTTGCAGATTTGAAGATATTGGGCAGGCATCATATGTGAGGGGAAAACCTGCTTGGTAAATAGTGATAATATGATATATGGATGACATATCTCATAGTAAAATATAAGATAAGATATACATTATATATATATATATATATATATATATATATATATATATATATATATATATTACAACATATTATATAAGGACCTTAATTCGAATAACTTCGAAATCCACGGCTGAGTAGTGACATGACTCACTTGCACAAGATTGCCTACCATTTCGATACGACCACTAGCAAGACATTTTTCATCATTTTCGACAAGTTTTGCAACAAGCTTCTGTATGAAATTGTTATGCGTCCCTCTCTGAACTTATTTCAAGCATGTCTTGATAAACACTTAGTGAAGGGCGGGTTATTTTCTAGTAGGCTTAACTACCCCACGTAAAAGTCCAACGGTCGCTACAAGTGACGATGGTTGTGTTCAGCATTTCTGTTTTGTCCCAGTGCACTACCGGTGATGTGTTCCATGTACTTGTGATGTGGATTGGGTGCAATCTCCGTTTTGTGCGACGCTGCTCTGTGGTGTCATAGTTGATTCTTTAAGCAGCCCATAGCTATTCGTCGTAAGTTTATCTCTGCTCTGATGGTGCTTGATGGTACTAATGCATTTTATTTTTATGTTCAATCTAGTGTCCTTACTTCTAGTGTGAAAGTTTCCTGTTTAACAAGGATTTCATACAGTTCTTCGACCAGGAACGTTCTGCAGTGTATTTAGTTTTTATGGCAAATTTACAAACAATAGAGCATTGCAGTGTGTTGGTTAATCCAAGCTGGCAGGCCTCCACAGGCGCCAGCCTCTATTCACTCACGTTAAGGTATCATCTGGATGGAGATAGCAATGAACTCTGTCATCACATTGCTCGTTACACGCCGCAAAAGTAAGGTTAGGTTATATCTTGTCGGACATTGTTGGGCGTTGAGCTAGGACAAATGACCTGGTTGAGTTACATCTGTTTAGTTCTTCGAGTTGTTTTAATGACATAAATATGTACCATCCATTTGGTCTGATTTGTCCTTTATTCATATTCTTAACAATGAGATAAAGACGTGGTACATGACGCGATATTAGTGGTGCAAACTGTCGGCCAGGCATGCGCACTCAGCCCAACAGCACACGGGCGCCGGCTTATTAACAGCACACAGACCTGAAGTTGTGGTTTATCACGATTACGGAAGGCTGGTCGGTAACTGTTGGTGTCTGTCTGCCGCCATCAGTATATCAGTTAGGGATGCCTCGATCCCCAAAGCAGTTGCTGCCGGGTTGTGAACTTGCGGTGTTAGTACCAGGGCTTTTTGGAATAGCCGTAGCCACCGTGTTTGATGTCGTAGTCGACGTTGACCTTGCTGTAAGGCAGCTTCACATAATACCCGCCGCGGGTGCGGCCGCCGTAGTTGCTCTCGTACTTGCCCTGTGGAACGGCAGGTAGATCAGCTTTGAGGAGGCGATCAGCGTTGACGTTTATGCCGCGGTCTAGAAAAGACCGAAGAATAGTGAAATGTCGTCATTATGGTTCCGCTCCCTAACTAACACCAGCCAAACATGCATGGGGACCGAGTGGGAGCCGGGGACGCTTGGCGGATACTGACACTGGTGTTACGTTTCATTACACTGAATACAGGCCAGCATTTCCCGGGTCCGGTTGAGGGCTGGCATTGTCATCCCTCGCTCCGTTGCAGTACTGCTGGTGCTGGTTCAGTGCGGGCTGCCGGTGTCCTGTTACCAAATCCTTCTTTATCACTAGCGTGAGTGATATATTGTATTTCATGAGCCCTTCTTGGTAGCTAATTTAAGATCAATACGCCACAATGGAAGGTGACGCATGATATGAATATTCAGGCTACCTGTTGTTTCGTTTGTGTAATATATGTAAAGCATTTGCCTGATGGAAAATAGGAAATAGCCCGTGCGTATGCTCTTCCCTACGCTACGACAGTCTAGTTGCTATTCTCACCTGCTTGGCCCATTCCCAGGGGTAGTAGATGTCGTAGTTGTAGCGATAGTTGTTCTTGCCGTAGGGTTTGTAGCTGTAGTAGTCTGGATAATATCCTCCGTCGTACTTGCCATAGTAGCCTGACGGGCCGTATCTGCCCGGGTACTTGTACTGGTCGCGATAATAGCCGTCGTAGTCTGCGGCGGCACATGCCACCAAGCAAACAAGCACTAGGAGCTGGCGGAAAGGAAGTTGTGTCAGAGTTCAGGGCTTGTTGCTATACGCGCCACGAACTGTTGGAACAGTCCAGGGTAAAAAACATGAGGCGTTTCGTGAAAGGGACAATGTGCTTGGAAGTTTTGGAACGCTTTGAAGTGAAGTACGCCATGCGTGAATGATATGCATGGTCCAAGTTTTAGCAATCTGACTGGCAAAGCTACCACAGACTGGGATAGTTTCCTGACAACTAACTCGGATGCGTTGAAGACTGTTGCGTGCGTAGGCACATTGTCTCAATTTTGCATAACCATACCACGTTTTCGATTTTTTTTAGGGCCTTTGGAAACATCGAAGACTTCGCCGCTGTCAAGACGAATAAATCTCAGGATGTTGATGGGGCTGACAGCGTCATCATCACCCCCTTAAAGCAGTATACGTTCTTGGACACTCGTCCTGTTCATCCCCATGATCTCTGTATCCGTACTGCTTACCTTCATGGCTGCTGTCTTCCCGTTTGGTGTTCACCGGAGGAATAACGTCTCAGCCCTGCCGACCGGTGCCTTTATATTCCTCTACATCAGAGGCTTGCCAGCCAGGAATCTGGGGCGGCCAGCCCCAACATTTTGTCCTCATCGAGGGGCGTTCCACGCCTTGTACGGGACACGCCCATGTCGCGTGCTGTCGCGTGCTGTCGCGTGCTGGCGTCCCGGTTTCAGTTGTCTTCCCCACACCACGTTTTGCTTTGTTGCACAATGGGCTGTAGTTACACAACTTATTTCCTGCTTTCATGCTTATGACCCCTGCTGAGACACCAGTACGCATGCTTTTGGCGATCATTGGTCAAAGACATATACGGAACGCGAATGTCTGCGTTGAGCTTCTTGTAAGCAACTACACGAATGATATGAATGAAACTATGGGGTGTGTACCATGAATGCGACTAAACCGGATGACGAGCGTCAAGTATGATTTGATGATCACTCATGATCATCTGAATGGTGACGTATCCGATAGGGTAAGATTCCGCCACCGCCTTCATCGAAGCGGGAGCAGCGAGGAGCAAGCAGCGCAAGGGCAAACAGCGTGGTATGAGCTAGACCAGGTATAGATGAGTTAGACGCTCTCTTGGAGAGACGGGATCACGCGCATCCGTGTACCGCTTCTCGGATCTCTGGATCTCTGTTCGTGTGCTGTTTCCGGATCCTGTCGGAGATGACGGTCAATCGTCGTAGTTGGCCTGCAATTAATCACTTAAGGTCATAAGATATCCAATAGGTCGTCAAATTTGTCGCCGTTCATCCGAATGTAGCCGGATCCGACTCCCACATCTCACGCGCGAGTGTGTGGTTCTCACCACTCTGGTACCGAAGCAGTGGGATTGTACACACCCAGCACGCTCTTTTCACTTTTTTCTCTTTTTTTTTACTCTTTTCTTTTACATCTTTTCACTCCTCTCTGGTCTTTTTGGGGTCAAACGCATCACCCGCACCTTAGCTTAAAAACAAGTATAGCTCACTGCGCCAATGTTTTGCCGAAAACTGGAAACTTCCACATACCATCATCAGACCTGGTGTAACCAATGTTTGTTGGATGTCGTTTAACCAGTTCCTGATAATAACCTGTAGATCAATAATTTAGCACTGAACTCTGAACTCGTAATGGAGAAAAGCACCAGAAGTGGTGCAAAATTTGTCCGTTCCCTTAATCAACTGTGTTCGGCATTTTCAAATGCACCAAAACGCGCATGAGCATCATACACCGAGAAAGGCAGTGACACAAGCTCGTGGAGTGGGCTGGGGGAGGGGTTCGGGCTGGAGACCCCTGTCAAATAGGAAACTACACCGCTGATATAAATGAAACCATGTGATATGTTTGATGACTATAAATAATCCGGATGATGGCCGTCACTTATGGTTTGATGATCGCGGACGATGTTCTGAATGGTGGCGTATCCAATGCGGCAAGATTCCGCCACCACCTACATCGCAGTCCAAGCAGCGAGATATAAGCAGCGCAAGGGCAAGCAGCGTGGCATGAGTTGGACTAGCTAAATGAACTAGATGCTCTCTTGGGGACATGCCATCACGCATATTCGTGCGCTGCTTTACGGATCTCTTAATCTCTGCACATGTACTGCCTCCGGTTCCTTTCCGTGCTGACGGTCAATCGTCGTATTTACTATGTCTTGTAATTAATTATCGATGCCATTGTCAATGTTCAATGCCAGTGCTAGATTCTAAGAATGTTGGAGTCTCATCCTCCCGGGTACCTGTGTTCCGCGTATGCGTATTCACTTTCCGCGCTGAATGAATTCTAACAGGTTCACTAAATGTAAGCTCACAAAGCTCATGATCATACTTGCCATGTATCTCTAACCCATCGATTAGCGGACTACCTGACATGCCTAACAATTGGCGCACGCTGGTTCTATCTGTTCAGGATGATTGCGTTTCAACCGCTACGCATATATAGACTTGTAACCAACAAATCATCACGCTCCTCATGAAATTCCACGCTTTCGACCACCTGGGTTTATGCACGTACCCCCAACAATTTGTTCATACTTGCTACGAAGTCAGCCCCATGTCCCAGCAACCCATCTCTGCAGGGGTTCTCGCGTAAGGGTTTTCAACATCTACGCCGACTTTATTCTACTGGTTAGCCATTAGAATAAGCATGCTAATCATTTAAAGCTCAACATTGTATTCGACATTAAATTCTACTCAGTTGAGTTGCTTGGGATATGCACAAATTTCTCCATTATCGATGCAAAAGGATAAGAGATATCATCGAAGAGAGCCCCAATTCCCGGCCGCCGCATCTCGCATAATTATTTTTTGTACGTTTTCATTTCTTGTGTCGTCACATATTTATGGTTAGCAGCATAGCCTTGCAAATCACGCCATCATACTCGCAGTTAAATTCTCCGACATGGTCTCGCTGGTCATATATACCTCCCGGTAGCAGTTCGTTCACGTACGAATATATACGACGTTCCTGCCGACACCCAGCGTTATGCCCCACGTCTAGTGGCTGCGCCGCGTTGAAGTCTCAGCAGCAGTGACGTCACCGGTTTGTACAGGGGAGGAGAGTGGAAACCTGACCCTTATAAAAAATAATGCACCACATCCCCCTGCATGACCCACGGAAAACTGTAACCGGAACGCCGGCACACGACATGGGCGTGGCTCGTACAAGGTGCGGACCGCCTCCGCAAGGAAAAAAAGCTGCACCAGGCGTTGGATTGGCGAGGCGCGGATGAAGGGGGGTATAAAGGCACCGGGTGGCAGGGCTGAGACATTGTTCCTTCGGCAAACACCGAACGCCAAGACAACAGACAACCAGACATGAAGGTAAGCAATACGGACGGTCATGGAGCTTAACGATACGATTGTCCACGAACGTATAATACTTTAAGGAGGCGATGATCACGTTGTAAGCACCATGGAATACTGAAATTATAATTGCAATGGAGTTTTCCTATTTCCAAGCCGAATGAAAACAAACAAAAAGTTGGGTGATTATACAGAGGGTCTGACAAGTTATCAAGCCACGCATGAATCCCCGACACATCAGAATTGTTTGTCAAATCCGTCATAGAATGTCATAGAGTTCCAACTGTTTCATTGAAGTTAGTTTATCATACATCTTAGCGGCCGTCGTGCTCGAAACCGTAAAACTTTTCAGGCAAGGCCTTTGCGAAGTGGTATCTTCACGAAACGGCCCATGCTTCTCAAACTGAACATTTCCAGCAAACCGTGGTGCATTAACAGCAAACTCTTTAATCCGCCTGACGACACTTATCTGCCACCAGCTCCTAGTGCTTCTCTGCTTGGTGGCGTGTGCTGCCGCAGACTACGACGGCTATTATGACGACTATTACAAGTACCCGGGCAGCTACGGCCAGCCACGGTACTATGGCAAGTACGACGGAGGATATTATCCAGACTACTACAGCCACAAACCCTACGGCAAGAACAACTATCGCTACAACTACGACATCTACTACCCCTGGGAAAAGGCTTATCAGGTGAGAATAGCAGATTGACTGTCGCAACCTAAGAGCGGATTTACGCACGGACTATTTCTTGTTTTTCACAAAGCAAATGCTTTACATACATTACGTGAAGGAAACACCAGTCAGTGCCAAGTTCATACTTTGCGTCACCTTTCATTATGGCGTATTCATCCGAAACCAGCTGACAAGAATGATTTTTGAAGTAACCATTCAATAATTCCCTCATGCCAGTGCCAGAGAGGGACTTTGGTAGCAGGGCATCGGCAACCCGTGCTGAACCAACGCCAGCAGTAATGCAGCGTGGCGAGGGATGACAATGACAGCCCTCTACCGGTGCCGGGAAATGCTGGGCTGCATTAGGAATAATGAATCACAACGCCAGTGGCAGTATCCGCCAAGCGTTCCCATTTACAGGTTCCTATGCATGTTAGCCAGCATCAGTTAGGAAAAAATGGACCATTGTGATGACGACATTTCTAAATTGAGCTCCTTTTCAAACATCAATGTAAATATCAACGCCAACCACCTCCTGAAAGCTTACCCACCTGCCGTTCCACAGAGCAAGTACGAGAGCAACTACGGCGGCCGCACCCGCGGTGGGTATTATGTAAAGCTGCCGTACAGCAAGGTCAACGTCGACTACGACATCAAGCACGGTGGCTATGGCTATTCCAAAAAGCCCTGGTACTAACACCGCAAGTTCGATAATTCGGCAGCCATTTCATGGTGAATCCAAGCATCCCTCACTGATATAATGATGCCGACGGACAGAAGCAATAGTTACCGACCAGCCTACGGTAATCGTGACCAGCCACAACTCCAGGTCCCTCCGCTGTGAATGAGCCGGCACCCGTGTGCTTGGGTGCCGAGTGTGCGTGCGTGGCCGACAGCTTGCAGTGTTGATATTGCCTCACGTACCCCGCCTGTATCTGATGGTCAAAAACTTAGTAGTCCTGACACTGAATGAGTTTTGAGTTTTGGGCTGGGGCTGAATGAGTTTTGTCTTCGGTCTCTCCTACATCTGATGCGCTCTAGTATAAATTCATTTTGGTCTTGTTGGGCTTTTGATGATGTTCCGAAATATACTACGATTGGTCGTATCCATGTCGTTGCTTGTGTTCTGCGCACGAGCCATGCCACTCCTGAGGCATGGATATCCAATGCGTTTGTAAATTAAGGAACCACAATCTGTTTGGTATTTCAAATTTATCAACCCTGTCACACGCATGTTTTTGGAGGTAGGTAGTCAAAGACGTACACGGCACTAGTACGTCTCTGTTGAACTCGCTGTTTCTCTTAAACATACGTTTTCATCAAAGAAACCTTTAATTCGAGACTTCCAAAAGTCATCGTGCGACCTGATATAACGTAGCCAATGTGAGCGTTGTGAGGTCGTTTATCCAGTACCTCATAGCATCTAGAAGTCGATAACCTCAGTTATAGCTCTAGTTCTCTCTTGTGCGCTTCTGTTTGATCAGTTATTCCCAGTGCTTCCAAAGACACCGATGCACGTATGAACACCAGGCACCGCAAAAGCAGCGACGCAGTGCTTTACCTATTGTCATCTGTGCGTTTCGTCGTGTGAGCTTTGAGCTATGAAGATTTTCGCGTCAAGTTTAGGGTTATAGGGTTTTATAATGGATATGAGGCTTGGCGGAAATGGCAGCTTCCAAGAGCTGATCGATTTTAGATTACGTGGCAGTGAACGGGGGGAAATCGCCAATCTTTGGAGGAAGCACGGCGTAACCCATAGGGGGGGAGGGGGGGGAGGCTCTTCGTACTGCCGAAGGTCTCGAGGGCTGGTGCAAGACAGGTGGCAGCATGGGTGTTGGCTTGCATCCTTTAGTGAGAGCCCTGGCCCCCAAACATGCGCTACCTCCTCCCCTCAACGTTGGACTGGCCCGTATGTTTTTGACTGAAACGCTACACAAAGCGGAGATAAAATATGATCATCACACAAAGACTGCCCTCTGATTTTTCTGCCTAGTGACGTCGCCATGGAGGATGGCGCGGGACAACCTGATCCCCGCGACAGCAAAATTATTTCCTCGAAAGACGGGTAACGTTAGATAAATAGATTAAACCGCTTTATTTGTGGCGTGCTTTTTGCCAGCCAAACATAACCTCAGATGTTTATTGCCCAAAAATTAACATGAAATTGACGCCACTGATTCACTGGTTTCGTGGAGACTTTTATGCCGAGCGCCATTTGCTCTGCTACCCATGGGAGGCTACGAACCAAACATTGTTCTACTATCTTGAACCAACTATCTTTGCCTGCATGGTCTCATGAGAAAATCTATTCCGGTAACAGAATAATACTTTGGTGCGGCATCTTTACTTAAAAAAATATGTTCAGCAATGAAATAGCGCACACAATACACCAAAAATCTTCCTGGGACGTTTCGGCAGTAGCTGCGCGGTAGTCGTGGAAAGCAGTTCTCGGGTTGCCTGCTGTTTGGTATGGTGGGCTATGGATAAGATTTTCCACGAAATTTGGTTCCGTTATTTACTGCGTGTGTTGGCGATATTTCTCATGTTTTGAAGAAATTGATGGCTGATGTGTAAGGCTGACCGATTTCATGTCTGCTCCAGGTATGCATGCATATAGACCTCCAGCTCCTGGTCCGCTAACCTATATTGTTAGCGATTTTATTTGACCGATTTCCCTCCCTCCTTCAACTGCAAATTCTTTCGCACGCTCCTGCAAACGGAACTTATTCTGAATTATACACACCTTTACTCTCCAAGAGAGGAGGTGCGGGCTGTCTCATCAGCTGAATCCGGATACTACTCCCTGGTTAGACACGTTCAATGGCCCAGCCCACCCGTTTCTTTGATTAGGTACGTTTTAAACGGGCGTGGTTTACCAAAATAAGTTGGTTGGCTGGGCAATGAAAATATAACGGAGAGTACGGTGATGATATGCCAACGAATTGGTTTCTCCCCGAACTGGGCTCATTTTCTCACAAATCTGCAAACTGCAACCTTAGTTACTGCTTGGTGTCAAACCCCTGCAACTGAATAGGGGACCGCACTCCTAGTTGCAAGTAAATAGGAAGTAAAAAAGCAAACGTTGATTGCGAATGTATTCAACTGCCTGCCAAACGTCACGCAAAACACTACGCACGTGCGCGCTTAAAGCCACTGTTGACTCACCATCTGGACAGCGGAGCCGAGTGCATGTCACTGAGCTGGTTTGCGATAAATAAGCTGAATGAATTGGGAGAATCGTGAGCTTGTATTCACTGCCGATTTCATTAATCTTGGCACGCTTTCTTCCTTTCACACTTCAGAACCTCTTAACCTCTTGAGTATAAAATTTGGGGTCTAGCAACACCAGTCTGGAGTTTATCGAAACGGGTGCAGTTCGCACCGCAGAGGGGCGATGGTGGCATGGTGGTTAGTGGTTAGGGTGCTTATCTCTGAACTTTTCTATCCTGGGATAGAGTCCTAGCCACACCACTACCGCACCACACGCACCTAATGCCTGATACATGCGTAATAGAGACCTTCCGCCTCGAAATAGCCTGGTGAGACTGCGGTGTGGTTGTGCGGGGGTGTGCGCCCTCGCCCTCCCTGTCCTCCGAGCTCTTCATCTGATCGGGTGCCGTCACGTGACAGCGGGTCTCCCGATTCGCCGGGGGTCAAGAGTCGGCCGCTGAGGCGGCGGCAAGGAACCGACGCTCGCAGGTGCCAGTCGGTTTTTGGACGAGTACAGGCAGATACACGCTGCGTTCTTTTACAGAGACGTAAAGCCCCATTCAGTATTACAGTCCGTCCGATAAACAGACCGTCGCCCTTCAAATTTGCAGACAGTGCTTTCGCTCAATCACTGGATATATATGGGAAAATAATGTGCAATCGGTTGGACGCGGAGCTCGGACACACAGACCAGCCCAGAGGCTGTTCAGCTCGACGGTCCGGCCGGCATCCACGCCAGCGGCGGGCCGGCGGACAAGGCAGCCCGGCCGCCAAAAAAAGAACGCATTCACGCGCGCGCCCTCCCTCGCCCAAGAACCAAACCCCACCATACGTGCGCGAGGCCTGTCCATGGGGCAGCCCTTCCGCGGTCGAAACACTGCGAGCTCAGTCGCGCACGCCGCCATTTTTGCGTCAGAGCCCGAGGCCCCTGACTCGGTTTCCCTCGGTTAGCCGCGGTACACATCCCGGCGGACCAGACTTCCGGACGTGTTGGATATCTTGGGATCTCGCTCGTGCTTGACCGGAGCCGCCCCCCCCCCCCCTTTTCCTTGAAGGGCGCCGTAATGGAAGAGCCTCATGTCCTTCTGGAACCAGCACCGGACAGGGTCCCTCTGCCCGTTTTCTCTAAGGCCCTAATGCGTCGAACTGGGATCACTGTGCTATTCATTAAACCCGCTTGTCTTGAGACCTTTATGAAACGGCGAGTGGCCCCGGGTTGATCGAGGGTCAGCCATCACGGACAGAGAGCCTTCGGCGTCAGAGAGGGGATCAATGTATCATGTGTAACAGTAGCAACCGACTGGAAATCTGACAGGTACGGAAAGGTCCTTCAGCCCCAATTGAGAAATGCGTGGGGTCTCGAGTCTTGGCGGAAAACTCTATTGGGGTCTGGCTGTTGAAGAAGGGGGAGGGGTGTGGGCGGTGGGCGAGGGTTCCAAAAACCCCTTGGGAGGAGCTCTTTTTGGAGCCGTGATATCCGAGAAATGGCCATACTGAATGAGAAGAGCAAAAATATTACCCAATAAAGATTCTGACAATACCGTAGCAGCGTCTAGCAGCCCAAGAAGCCCTCTCTGGTAAACTCGTGGACTCTGGCCACTCAGTCGGGACATGCGGTTAAGTCATGCATCCTATTTCGCGCCAGGCGGTGGTCCAGAATCGGCCAAGATAACGGGACATTGTAGTTTAAGTCGATTGCATTTGTTATCGAAAATTAGCTTCAGTGCGTGTCCCGGCTCACTAACGACAGTCTCATGGCAGGGGAATGCGAATACACCTTCTAAAATGCTTATGTCTGAAAGCCACTGTCACACCAAAATGCTCACATGCATCAGAAATGTTTTCGTGATTAACTGTGACAAGTTATTTAGATGGCTCTTTCGGTGAAAATGACAGCATATCGCGCAGTTTTCTGTTTCTTGTGAAGATTGTGTAACCCCCAGAATATCTGGCCGAGTTATGACCAGAGCGACATAACGGGAGAGCCTTGGCACCGACAGACCGGAGTGCAAAAGTGTGGAGTCATGCAAGGTTACGCCCAGGAGATATGTGGTTGATAGTAACATCCCTTCTGCACGTGCGTTATATGTATGTTTAGGTACCTATGCTCGCTGTATGTCTTAACCATCGCCCTGATTCGCCGTTTTGGATAACAAGCAAGCAAATGTAGGCAATGAGCCCCAACCAGGAGCACGCTTGCTGAATAGGGGACGATAATGGGCCCCCGTGTGTCAATGGGTCTATTGTGCTGATCTGGGCCCTCCTAACACTGAAAGGATTCATGAGAAGTGTTAAAAGGGGGTTCTCATGTACAATGAGACAGTGGAGAGGCCTGCGCAAGGCAGGAACACCGGAACCGGACGAAGGATCACCTGCGCCATTTCAACCAGGGACAGCTAAGGTGAATTAGTGTCTCGATACCAGTTCTTGGACTTCCTGTGCCAGTGAATAGCCTGTTTGCATTAGCGAGGGGCCCTGCGCCGATCCGTTGCTGGATGTCTCAGTTAGAGGGAGGTAACCGCATCGAGGAGGGGACCGGTTGTGATGCATACTTATGAGGGTCTCCGTACGGTCATGGGGGCTATCACTAGACTGAAAGCCGCTGGGGACCCCAGATGGGACATAAAGTCCTTCAGCTGCTGACCAGAACGTTTTACCAATGCAATTTAGTTGGTTGACCAGTTGATTCTCTGAACGGGTTCAGCAGTTGTAGCATTACGAGCAAGAGAGATTACGCCATTGCGTCTTCCCATTGCGCCTTCCCGTAATCAGTCCCGACTACCAATCTAAAAATTGCGCTAGTGAAACACTCGACAAGGAGACACCTTTTACACACATAGCCATTGACTTCATAAAGCGTTGGAAAGTACCGATTTCGATACGTGGTCATTTCCACCCATCTGTTGACCACTGCCAGGTGTTGCTGCAAGGTTCCGTATGCTACAATGGTGTAACTACAACATTTTTGTTCGGACGTCTCACAGAGCACCTTACGGAGGGGACACCAAGGAATCACGTACAGCCCGACCACAACACTGTTCTCGCGCGCCCAGCGCCTACACAAAACACTGCAATTCTATGATCTACACACAAAACAATAAAACTCAACATTCTGGATGCACTACTCATTCATGATCACAAACGATTTCTAAGCAATGAAATGAATCAAACTACTGAATTATTGTTTTGGAGCAGAATCGCAAATAAATCAATTAGATAAGGAACACGACGATGATGAATGGCGCGGGTATGGGGTGATTGGCATGTAGTGTTGTGATTTGCTGTGTCGATTGCGTTATTCGCTGTGTGTGTGTGTGTTGATAATGATGTCCTCCGCACGGCTAAACAATTGTTTTTTGCTGCAAAGTCAAAACGACATCGAGCGC